CGCACCTGAGGTAATCGTTGTCTCGTACTAGGCGCGCGCTCTCGCTGTGGGGCAAGAGCGCCCCCTCCAAGTAGAGGCCGAGGGGGGCTCCGGAACTGAAGCCGAAGCGCTGGCGGATGAGACTAACGAGATCCGTGACTACCCGGCATCTGTTCAAGTCGACCAGAAGCCAGAAGTCCGTGCAGTGCGGGGTGGCTGGCGGCGGGTAATCAAATTGAAGCCGTAGCCTAACAGTCTCGGAGGGTGCCATCTTGCTAAGTGCGCTACGGAAGCCGAGACGCACCACAGCGCTGCGGAGCGGCGTGCGCCGGCGGCCCGCCCCTGCAGACCTGCCAACCTGCGCCACCTACGGGTGGCAAGTGGCCACTACAGGCTTCGTGAATGGCAACGCCGAGAGGGTTGATTCAATTCGATTCTGTTCGCGGCACAGGACTAGGGAGGAAGACGTGTAAATAAAATCCCTTTACTCTTTTCCTACCGAGCAGTATGTACGGTGCGAATTTAGGCAACTCTCTGTAAAAAAATCTCTGATAAAGCAATTCTCAGCAGTTTTCTTCTAAGATATTAGCTTGTATACTCGAAAGAATGTTTTAAAAACTCAGTTGACAAAATTTTTCATCATAAGGAGTTGTAAAAGATGTCATTCATAATGTATCGTAAATATTATCGTTAAAAAATTAATCACTCTCTTAAATGTATCCAGTGGAATTTAAATACCTACCACCTTCCACAGTAAAATATAAAAAGCCCTCTAACCTCTAAATCAGAAATTTTACGTCATTTGAATTCCCATTCCATTCTCCCACATATTAACTCCTCTAGTTTTCATGACAAAGATATGAATTGTAAACCATTATTATTCCCATTTTGAAGATTAAAATAAAAAGTTGAGAAAAGTTAAGTAACTTCCCCACGGTCGCTGGACCAGTAGGTGGCCAATTGATACCTTGCAGTCAAGTCTGCAGCCTTGGGAAAGGCTTCCCTGGGAAGGGCCAGGTAAACCGACAGGCTCAACAGTAGCCAGGTGGAAGGGCCTTTAAGGAGCCCCTAACCAACCTCCACCAGTTTCTCAAACCTTTCCCAAAATAAACATATAATTTAAAAAAGAATTTTTGCAAGTACAGTTTTGAGATGAGTTCCAATCCTATTGCCTCCCCTGCAGCCCTATTATATTTTTGACCTGCCCCCAAGAGGACAGGTTTACATCACAGAAATACAAGCAAGTTCAAACTAAACCACAAGCGTCACCTTTTAATGTTCTGTAGCCACTCCCTCCTCAGAAAATTTTCCACTGGCTCTTTAGCCTTGACACCCTTTGGCTGGTCTTTCTCTCTACACAGGGCCCCTTCTTTTCATCTCTCTCTTTCCTCTCCTTGGAGCAAAACAAATTCTTTTTTCTAGTTTTGTGCAGCACAATTTAGCAACTTTGCTACCTTAGCTGAGGCTCTATACTCTCAGCTCTCATCTCCTAACCTCAAGGAACCAATACGGTATTTTTCTTAAACAAAGACCATTCTGATCTTTAAGAGGAACTTTGTTGTTAGAATAATCAGCTTTCACCTGGTTTCCACGTATATGTGTTTGGTTTAGTTCCTGTGATTATAAACTGTAATGAAAAAGGGAAATTTAATCTTTGCCTTAATGAAAGACTATCTAGTATTGAAGGCTATTCTCAACCAAACAGGTCAACTTTTGTTTTGTTTTGTTTTGAGATTTAACTTAAGCGGTTTTACAGGTGTACCTTTACCCAAAGCCAGGTCAACAGTGCTTCTGGGTTAGCAGCCTTTGCACTGAAATTCACACTATTCTGTAAGAAAATGCAATGTTGCATATTTCAGAGAAACTATAGAAAACAGTTTATTTCTGAGCAGAATATACTGCACTAAAACCTTATTTGATCTTAAAAAAATAAATAATTGTGAAGATAATGTTAACACAGAATAATGCTGATGACAAATTTTCAAGAGAAAAAAAATTCAAAAATTTTATTGTATTTAAAAACATGAAGAGACTAGAGCAAAATAAAAAACCCCAAACGTCAACAATGGCTATGTAGGATCTAACATTTTTTTCTCAACTTTCCAAAATGTCCATAATATATGTAACTTTATAAGAAAAATAGTTTTGAAAAATCTCTGAAAATGGGATCCCACAGCTTTCAAGGACCAGCTAGCTCGTCCATGCTTCGTCTGATTTGTGACAGACGCAGCAGTTTTTGAAATGCCAGGCCTTTGGTTGGGGAAGGAAGAGATGGGCAGGGCAGGAAGGACGGTCCTCGTGGTTATTTTTCTGTAGCGACTCAGTCCGGTGGCACAACTGAAGTCAAATGCATTAAATGTCTCTTCCTGTCTGCTCTGTCCCCAAAACGGCAAAGAACGAAGTGGTGGGGCAGAAAGAACCCCC